TCACACGGTGGTAAAGTCTACAGTCTTTGGAATCAGGTAGCCTTGGGTCAAGTGCTAGCTCTTGCTAACTAGCCTTGGAAGACTGAGGTTTCAGTTTCCCCACGTGGAAAAAGGAGCAATAATGATACACAATTTCATAGGGTTTTTGCCAAGGGGAAGGGAAATAATGCCATAAAGTGTTTAGCACAGTGCCTGAAAGCTGACTTTTAACAAGTCTTGATACAGGAATATTCTAGTACTATAGTAGCTAACAGTCTGACAGTATAGCAAATATACTGACATTACTTAGTACAATGGTGTTGACAGTAAACCGGGAGGTTCATTGAGTTATTCAACAACTCTGTGTTGAGCATTTATTAGGGGCAGGTCTTGGAAGTATAGTAATCAATAGAAAGACATGGCCCCAGTATTCACTGTGGTGGAGAGACACCTAGTCCAACAACCAGGGAAGACTGTGTACTAGCATGTGGTGATACTAATTTTGTCAGGAAAGGTCATGGTGTCTTGAAAAACAAACAAGCAAAAACATGAGGAGCCCTGACCAGCTTAGCGGGGCAGGAAAAGCTACACAGGTTTGGTTGCATCCAGGATCCTTTTAGGTTTGACCCTTGGGTGTCTCTCAAAGCGGATTCATGTAGAATAATAAGCACCCCAAAGTGCTTGTATAAAAGGTCTGGAACTGGCCGCTAGCGGGGGCTCTAGGCTTCCCTCTATTGCTTTTGCGCTGAGAAGGATGAGTGTTCATGTTGAGCGGACAAGGTCAGGGAATGGTGGCTTCCTGGGCTACGCTGCTAGGAGAGGTGGACTTCAGTGTGAGGAGGAGGACGAGGAGGAGAACGAGGAGGAGGAGAATACTGCTTGGTTCTTGGGACTCTCTGTGGCCCATGTGGCTGTGGAGGATGTTGATTTTCTGCGGTGTCCTCCAGTGGCCCCTCTCCACCTTAGCTGCACAACAAACAAGGTGAGTCCACAGGGTAGAGAGGCCTCAGGTGGGTCTGTTTCCACATCTCAGTCTTGGCAGAAAAGTATTCCTGCCAGTCTGGATTCCAGCACCCCAGAAAGCAAGGAGGGCATCAATACTAGCTAAATCTTGGAAGTGTCCTATATTCTCACCCGCAGATAAATGGGTAAATAAAATGTGGTATTTATACACGATGGAGTACTACTCTGTCACAAAGAAAGAAAAACTTGAATCGTTTGTAGGAAAACAGGTGCATCTTGAGACTATAAGCTTAGGTGAAATAAATCAGACACACAAGTTTACATATCCATGGTTTCATTTTTGAAAAACCTAAACTAGGAATACTGTAAAGAGCAAACTAAAAGACAGATAATAGGAAGCAGCGAGGTAGATCTTTCTCAAATGGAAAGAGGATCAAGAGATGGAGGAAGGGCGAAGAAGGAGAGGGAAAGGAAATGAAAAACAAGATGTGTTGTGCGCCTGTACCAACTCTGCACGAGGAGTGTAAACATTAAGTACTGCAGACAAGTACTAATACGAATAGTTTCTAGGTGACGTGGTGATCTGACACAGGAAGAGTGGCACTATTTCTAGACAACTGGTCATTGACTTTGACACATCTGTCAGTAACTAGAGACTAGTAAAAAGCCCAAGATTGTAGATCAGAGGTGAGGCAACTGTTGAAGGCAGTTCGATGTATTAGAAATAACAGAGGGAAAAGTCAGGCTAGAGTCAGTCAAGAATAAATTCAGGAGAGTTCATTGGAACTTTCCCCTGGAAATTCAGGGGAGTTCATTGAAAATGAGTCAATCTTTTTTGTTGGTATTTGTTTATTTATCACTTGCAATGTATTTTGGGGGCTGCCACTGAGCCGGATAGCTGAGAATGTTAAGATCTAGGTAATTAGTCACCAGGCTGGTGTACTTGATACCAACCTCTGGGCATCTTGAGGCAACACATCTGGAAAAGCAGCTGTCAGGCAGCACGTGGAAGCCCCATGTATAGGAGTGCAGCACGTACAGGCGTGCTGGCCTGGAGTTGGGGCAGCCGTATCCGAGATGTACCTCTCACGTGGACTGCAGGCTTCTCTGTCCCTTCACGACATCCACCCCATCACAGCTGATGTTCACACTCATCTTCGGGTTCTATGTATGACAGCATGTGCACAGACACGCACTTTTCAAAAGTAGGTGACACAACTACCCCTTTTCTGCCATATAATTGCAGACATGGATACTTCAAATATGAAATCCAATGTAATTTCTTAATTCAACTAAAAATTTTAAGCGCCCTCATTAACTTGATCGTGAAAATAGTTACGTTCTATGGGAGACTATTTTAAATAAGCTACAGTGAGAAATTCTGGCTGAGAAGGTGCCAGGGTCCTCAGCGATGCCACCCTCTCAGCCAGGTCCTCTCTGAACTCTGCTCTGCACGTTCTTTACTCCTCACCCTTGCCTGAGACCGGGGGAGACGCACATCCTCCTTCCTGGGAATGGTGTGACACACAGTGGGAGGAGCCGCTGAGACAAACCCAGGCTGTCAGTACCCTTAGTCCCACATCTCCCAGAGGAACAGTTGATGTGCATAAAGCCCACTTGTGCATGGGCCTGAATTTCTCTGAGCCTCAGCGGTCACATCTGTAACATGGGTTAGGTGCGCATCCCTCATAGGGTTATTGTGAGGATTATAGTTAAGCAACAACATTCAGCACGGGGACTGGAAGATTTTAATTCCGGTATAAATGGTTGTGATGGTGATGATGTGGAGATGATGTCATCATCGAGTAACCTGTCTCAATTTGGTCCTGGTCAGTGATGTTTGACATGAATTCAGTTGAAATGATTTTTTTTTTCAGTCTATATTCTGACACTCTTTTAAAGATAAAACCATCGTGTTGCTGTTGAATAAATGTGGCCAAACTGTGTAAACTCAGTTTAGAGTGTTGGTTGTTTGTAGACATCTAAGTGTGTGTGTGTGGGGAGGGGGCCTTGTGCGAATATTTCATCTAGTTGCATACATGATTGGACAAGAACTTGTGGTAATTGGGTAAAGACATTAGGCCACTTGGAAATGTTCTGGCTGGGAGGGTGAGTCATTAGTGTGATGATAAATGTTGGATCGCACTGCTTTGCTGCAGAAAGGACCGTATCAACCACTTGGGTCCCTCATGCCCAGCCAAATGTCTACTGTCAGTAATTTCTCCTCTACATCCACTGAAAATAAGGAAAAGGAATGAGACATAACATTTGGTGGAAACATCCAGGCCTCAAAAATCTGCATGTTTTCTAAATTATCTCAGAGATAAAGAAACCCATTACTCCAGCTGCCTATGTGAAAAGAATTTAATGCTGGGCTATAAGAACGAGAAGGTTTTTTTTTTTTTAAAAAAAAAAAACTGTTTTATATATACATATATATATATATACCTGCCCCACATATCTTTTTAAGTGGCTGGATTTGGAAAACTCGGCATGATGTTAGAATAGGCATATTCCACTGTACCTGACCTTCGGCGGTTATGAAAGCTTTCTGCTTAGGGGATGACTGTGCGTATCTCTCACACTTCCCTCCCACCAGCTTTTCTTACCTTTTTCAAATGAGCAAGTGGCATTAACATACAGGTTCACGAAAAGAGCTGCTATTTTTCAAGCCCTCCTTATGCCTTTCCAGAATCGGAGACCCATTATCCTGTCAGCTATCACCCCATCTGTCAGTCGGCAACAGATGGGTAAAGCGAAGAGCTTCTAAAATACCAGGGAGGAAATTATCCTGCGCTTTACCATCCACAGTTTAAATCCAGGCTGACTGCAAAATATTCCTTCGCCACTTCCCCACTCATCATGTGAAGTGAAAGTGAGGGAAAATATTGCATTTGAATTACAAATTAGGAGCTCTTCCTCAGTGAGACGCCGATTGGCCTCGGAGAGTCCTTTCTCTGTGGCAAAGAAGGCGGAAGCCAGGCTTGAGTTTGAGTCTTAGCTCTGCTGTGCTGAGCTGCACAGCCTTTGGCAGATTATTTGACCGCGTACCTCGGCTTTTATTTCCTCAGTGGAATAGTACAGAATCCACAGCTTGTCTTAGAGGGCTATTGCGAGAATTAGAAAGGGTTGCATAATGTCATGGGGGAAACACCAGGCACAGGGCGGCATCTGATAGATGCCATTACTGTTTTCACCATCAGGTCTCCCTCCTGTCCTTGTCCCTTGTTTCCCGTGTTTATTCCCAAAGATTCTGCGTCTCCCACAGGCAGGACTTAAGCAGATACCTGGGGACAGATGGGAGCAGACTTGAAGGAAAGGGGAAGGCGCGGAAGGAGCTGGGGTGTGTCGATTTCTCCACACTGTGCGGTGTGCCCAGAGTGCAGCCCACTGTACGCGGTGGTAGCGGGGTCTGGTGTGTGTGTGGATAAACACAGACATTCCCGTCACTAAAGTGACACTGTGTTCCGGGTGTGAGACTCAGGGGCTCTGCTCAAACCCTCCCAGCAAGTGATCATGTTTTCTTGGTTTCCGTTAACCTGCATGAAATAAATATTTGTGTTTTTTATGCTACCTAGGCACACATGTTAACTGAATCACAACTTATGCATCATGTTTTGTTTAGCTATTCTTGTTTTTGTGAGTTCTATCATAGTGCTAAGATTTCAGTGTTAGAATTTCATTCTCACAGCTTTTTCCAGTGGGAACCTTGGGAATACGGCTGCCTTCTTCCTCTGGTGTTACTCTCTGGTAAGTGTGCACTGGACACGATGGCAGGAGCCTGAGTGTTTTGAGAAGCAACATGTGTCCCAGGGAAGGGGTGTGCATCTTTCTGTATCACTGGTCTTCCAGGCATCTTGTCTGAAATAGGTTCTGATTTGGCAGTCGTGAAGTCTGAGAGTGCACTTCTCACAGGCGCCCGGTGGACCCCTGGGCTCCTGGTCCATGCACAGACTTTGGGAAGTGAGTCTCAGCCTACACAGAGCTTCCCAGGCTCTGGCACCCGCTGCATTCCTCGGCTCTGCTGTCGGAACGGTTCCCCACGCTTCTGCGCATGCGCTGCCGTTGTCTCGTCTTCATGTAGGAGTCGCACTTTGGCGCTCTGATTTCAAGGTAACTCTTCCCACTTTCTCTCTTGTACCATCTATTGAGTAACAGTTAGTTAACGCCACTCAGTTCTCACTGACAGGGAAGGTATTACTACTGCTGTTCTCAGAAATTAATGGGAAGAGGCGTAGAGAGGTTAAGTAAACTGTTCAGGGTCACTACGCACCATGGTAGCTCCAGGACATATACGGTAAAAAAATATGGTGAATGTTTACGTAAAACTAAAAATTTATTACAGTAAAGAGTAATTAATCCCCCACAGGATACCCCCTCACTTCACACACACTTATCCCATCATTCCTGTCACTTCCTGAGTGGCCCAGGAAATTGTCTTTTGTCAGTGTCTTTTCTAGCTGCCTTGACATCCTGAATCAATTCAAAATGTTTGTTGCAATATCTGTCAAATAAGAACATTATGATATGTCCTCATCCACCTTACTCACCACTTCAGGCTCTTTCCCAAAGTCAAAATAACCATGAAGATAACTTTGTGAATATTGTCTGATTCTGGAGCATTGGTCCACATCCGTTAGAGACCACTACAAAGTGACTCGAAGCTGGATTTAATATTAGCCAGTTGGCTTTCCGTGTTTACCTGTGAGTTGTCTAAAGCTTACGCACCTTGTCTGAAGATGGGCAGCGGACTCATAGTAAGCAAACCTCTGTGAGTCCCTGGTCACCCTGAGGCCTGTATTGGCCTGTGAAGCTGTGACTCCTCAAAGGACAAGATAAAGCCCCAGCTGAGGACGTTTGGCTCCAACCCCAGTTAACTACAAGGAGACTGCAGCTGCAGGCTCCGCAATCCTACAATAAATACCAACCTAAAGATAAGGTAATTCTCCTGATTGACATAATTTACTACTTGGGAAAATTCTCCCAAGGTCCTGTGAGATTCCTGCATTTTCTTGAGTACCCCCATCCTTTGTCTGAAAACCAAATAACTATGGGCTGCCCAAAGAAGTCTTGGTCTAAACTCAGAGAGTATCGAAGCTGTAAGAGAGTTAGTCCCTCCTGGAGCCCTGAAATAATTTCAGTTGTCTCATTTATTTAAGCCTTCACCATCCACTTGCATGGGAGACTGTGGGCCTGATCAGCCCGCAATAACTAAGGGTTATTTAACCCAATACACATCTACTAAGGATTTAAAACTATGACTTGCTGAAGCTGTGACACACATATTTTGATAATTCTGGAACCACTTATTGCAGTGTTATATTTAAACAATATGAGCAGATAGAGCAAAATCTTTTACAAAAATAGAAAAGAAAAACATATATTGCTGTTTTTTTCTCCTTTCCCCTAATTATCTGCTATGAAACTTATGAAGCTAAATATCTGGGGGTTAGACCTAACGTTACCAGACAAAAGTCTGATAATATGTACTTTCCCAAACTGCGTATTATTAGAATCTTGTCATGAGGAGTTACGCGGTGGGACCATTGCTTGACCTATGATATATTAAAATCTGTTATAATGAGATCTCATTATATGCTATATTAAGTCCTGTTGATGAGAGGAAGAAATTAGCTACTAAAAAAGTGAAAGTTCTGTGCAAGATATTATTAGTCAGAAAGAGGACCCTGATTCCACATAAATTTGCAGAAATTAGCTGGAGATGTAATAATCTTCTGTAGTTCGCAGAGCTGCCCTGTTAAGTGCTGTTCATAATATTCTATCTGGAAATGCTTTTCACTGTTACTAAATAAAATGGCATCAAATAGAAAGCGTTTTTCAGAGCATTTGATTTGGAAGTAAGTGTACAACAGCATGATTCCAGTTTTAGGAATCCTTGTTGTCTAGTTTATGCACCGTGACCAGCAGTATCAAACCTATGGGAAAGTGCTGGGGGAATGGCTTGCACATAGAGAATGTGCAGTCCGAATTACAGTACCTGTTTAAGGTAAACACCTTAAGTGAAAATGAAGCCAAGACTTGCAATGCCAATGGCCCTTTAACATGTGCTGGGAGTAGGGGAGGGATGAATTACACACAAGAAGAGAAAATGAGTTCTTTCTGTAACATGAAAATCAAAATCAAAATAACCTTTGATAAACCTTTCCAGTCTCCCGTGGTAGGGACCTTTGTCTTATGCATGCATGAAACTGTTGGCTTTTGCTTAGGTGTCTCCCATGTGAGAGACAAGCCTTTGAACCCTGGAATGATTTCAGGGAAAAGTTCTCATCCTGGGAACCACAAGTGAGTGAAGACAAGCATAGACTTCAGGATCCTGTGGGTTAGAAAAGCTTTTGTTTTCCTTTCTTACATGTTTTGCTAATGTTTTTGCTTTTTAAAATAGATACATATCTTTGTGTGATCACACATCAAACACACAGGCAGTATGGTCCACTATGGTACTGCTTTGCAACGGCCATGGGGCTTTTCTCCTTGCTTCTGTTTCAGCAACAGCTCCCATCTCCTTTGACCTTCCCAAAGGTTTTGAAAGCTTGTGCTCCCTGGAAGCAGCTGACGAAGTATCACCCTGGAATGGAGTCTGTTTTTCTGGTTTAGAGTGTACCTTTTATGATTGTACTCAAGATACTGGTAGAAAACATCCATTCGGTATCATTCTGTGTCATTTCCCCCTTGGAAGTGAAGGTCAGTTGCTATAGTTCTGAAGTTATTCTTGGATTCTTTATCACTGACTTGGCTTTAGCTAAGATAAGATGTCTATACCCTTTCAGCTTCAGTTTCCCTTTTTGTCTAGCAGGGGATAATATCTACCCCATGAAATGGTTGTGAGGATTAATTGAAACCTAACATATGAAATATTTATTATATGCTGGACATATCATAAGTACTCAGTAAGTATTAATGGTCACGTTATTATTAATAGGCATACCAAGGGCAGGCAGAACTGTTTTAACCAGACTTACTTGTCAAGAATGGATTCCCAAAGCAGATCGCTGGTGATAGAGGTGAGGCTTTTCTGAAGTGAGATGTGTAAATTGGATGCCAACCCCTCTGACAACAACGACAAAGCCCACTTGCTCTCAGGAGCAGAGATTAAATCTAACCAGTTCTTCACTGTGTCAATAAAGCTGATGTGTGTATTGGGTTCAGGCCTCTGCTTCTCGGCAGCTAAGCAGCAGCACCCCAGCTGACTGTCCTGCAGACCCTGTGCTGCCTGGCTTTGGTTGGTGTTCCTGTCCACCATGTTCTGAAACTTACACTGTGGTTCACCCCACAGGCCTGCCCGACTCTGGATTTTTTTAACTAGTAGCAAAAACTCCTATTAAGTATTTTGTGAGTCACAGTTTTTAGTTGCTCCAGTGCACTTAATTCCATGCATTTTGATAAAGAAATCAATCATTCTCACAGATACTGTTGTGTTTGCTAAATCGCCTATATTTTGTCAGTACACAAATATTTTTCACCAGGCAAGAGGGACTATCTCAAAACTGCAGGTTTGAGTCTCAAAGGTTTTGATGAACTTTGTTCATTAAAAAGTAATGAGATAGCTTTCTTTTTCTAACGCCCACCAACTTGTTTCTAAATATGAAATGGCTGTAAGGATTCATTTCACTGTAGCCATTAGAGAGGTTCTAGCTCATTTAGGTCAGATAATAGCTATTTATAAGCATGAGTGAGAAGACCTTTCAAGTGAAAAGTCATAATTCAGTTTAATATTTTAAAAAATGGAACAATTATTTCTCCTAGTGCTTGGAACTCAAACTAAGGAGAAACACCAGAGTATATTCTTCCTTAAAATGACAGATAATAGAAGTTTTGGGGTTTTGTCTGTTTTTTTAAATAGCTGTGTATGCAGAATCAGCCTCCAAAACAGTTTGAAATGACCTAGGCCTCTCAAATGAGAGCTGGGAAAATTATTCAGATAACTCGGGACAATAAACATTGTTGAAGAAAACAATCACTGAATAGCTTTAGTTATTCATTTTCCACCAGGTATAGAGTGTGTTTTTAACACTAGAAATATGTGAGTGAGCAAAAGCAGACAAAAATCCCTGCTCTTGATGAACAGAATTAAGAAGCGGTATATTTAGTGGCTTGGATACTGGTGGGTATCTGGAGGAAAGATCACACAGGGAAGAAGGATGCTATGTGGACGATGGTGAGGATGTGGTGCTGAAACTCTAGGAGAGGTGGTCAGGGAAATCTCGTTAAGAAGGAGTGCTTGAACAAAGATCTGAAGAAATAAGAGACCCCCCCTCCCCACATGGAGTATCTGAGAAAGGGTCTTCCACACAGAGCAGAGAGCAGGCCAGGAGGGCTCAGACACAGGAGACCCCTCTGGGGATTAGGAATCTAGAAAAACGGAAGTCTGAATGTATTTGCCTTGGATACTTGGACAGTGGTACTTTGACTTTTGGAGACACTTAAAGGATGTGGCAATAAAAATATATAACTAATGCCTCCAGGAAACTTAATTTGAAGGAAGAGGGGCAGACCTGTAGAAGACTTGGTTGCTCTTTAGACAAGAGGTGTGAGAGCCTTCGGAATTATGGAAATGACAGTTGGACTCAAGACGGAGATAATAAGAAAGCAGATTTAAATCTTTGGTTCTAGGATTTCTAACAGCAGTGCACCCCACCAGCTCAGTCAGTGGGCACGGTGGACTGCGTTGTTGAGCTCTGCCAGAGCTGGGCGTGCCAGCCGTGAGGGTCTTAGCCATCTCATTGAAGTTCAGGTCAAGGCTCTCTCTTTGCTTTTTCCAAATTACGCACAAGGAAATAAAAAACCAGTATATTTCTAAATCTACTCCCAGTGCTTGGAACTCAAACTACGGAGAAACACCAGAGTATATTCTTCCTTAAAATGACAGATAATAGGAGTTTGGGGGTTTTGTTTGTTTTTTAATAGCTGTGTGTGCAGAATCAGTGTATGCAGCAAATACAGTGGGAAGCGTGGTCTTTGAATAGAAATAAATGAGAGAAAGAGGCCAGAATTAGGAAAGAGCAGGAGGGCATGTGCATGAGTGCATGTGAGTATGGTGTGAGTGTGTGTGAGTGAGGGTGTGCGAAGCTTGTGGGAGTGTATTTAAAGTGGAG